GCCGCGTACCCCTCCGAGGGCCCGCAGTGCAAGTCCGACGCCTAGCCCACGAAGAACCAACGAAAGCACTTCCGAGATCCGGTTCAGTCGTCGCACCCAAGGTCTACACCCGGAATTCGGACCTCTGCCACCCAAGACTAAGCAGCCAACGAGGCCAACGATGGACAGCCAGTCGTCGCAGAACCCGTCCACCGCCAGCGTCGTATACCTGCCCGTCGCACCCAAAACTCCGACGCCTTTCCACAGAGACGCCCACGAGGACATCGAGGACTGGCTGCAACATTATGAACGTGTGGCCCGACATAACGGGTGGTCAGCTGAGCAATGCTTGCAGAACCTTTACTTTTCGCTGGAAGGAACTGCGAGGCACTGGCTGGAAAACCACGAGGCTTCTTTGACGTCGTGGGAACTGTGCAAGCAAGAACTGAAGAAGACGTTTGCCTGCCAACACCGACGTGAGTGGGCCGAAGAACTTCTTCAAGCAAGAAGTCAAGGGCCAAACGAGAACGTCACAAGGTTTGTCGAGGACGTTCTCCGCCTCATGAACCGCACCGACCCAAACGCTCCTGACGAGAAGAAGCTGCGGTTCCTGATGCGAGGGGTGAAAGAGACCATCTTCGGAGGCCTTGTCCGCAACCCCCCAGCCACCGTCGAAGATTTCGTCAAGGAAGCCACAAACATCGAACGGGCCCTTCAAGCACGGGCCTCCCATTACCAGTGACTTCCCGGCGTCGCTGCCTTCTCGACATCCAGCTGCACCGGCCCGGACCTCCGCGACATCATCCGGGACGTCGTGCGGGAGGAAATCAGGAAGCTTCTTCCTGCTGCCGCAAGCCCGGATTCGCCCTCAGTCGCCGAGATTGTCCGGGAAGAACTTCAGCAGGCGCTGCAGCCAGAAGTTCTCGCCAGCGCCGCTCCTGAACCACCGAAGCTGAGCTGCGCCGCAGCTAGCCGACGACCCCCGCCCCCTGCTCACCCGTATACGGCGCCACCTCGACGTGAACCTCTAGCGCTGCAGTATTCCCGACGCCATGAAGATCGGGCGTACGTCCGCCCAGAACAAGCTGCTCCACGAAAGACCGACGTGTGGAGGACGGCCGATCGACGCCCGTTGTGTTACCACTGCGGTGAAGCCGGCCATATTTACCGTCGATGCCTCTACCGACAACTGGGGCTGCGCGAGTTCCACCCCAACAACCCGCGCCCAAGGTACGACGAACGCCCTCGTGACATCGAGGAGTACCTCCGACGTTCGCCATCTTCAACGCTGCTCCGCCGTGAGTCCCGCTCACCGTCGCCCAGACGTTCAGCGTCTCCAGCGCCACGACCCCGCCGAGAGAGCCTGTCGCCCTTGCGTCGCCGGGAAAACTAAGTGCGGCAACGCCTGGAGGTGGCGTTGCCAAAGACGACCGAAGTAAAGAGCCTCGAAGAACGCCGGAGTGCTCCCACTCTCTCGACGCTACGCATCACAACGACCTCCCTGCATCGGTGTCCAACAACCTAAACATCATTATCGACGGCCACGACGCATCGGCACTCATGGACACCGGAGCAGACTACTCAGTCTTGAGTGGGAGGCTCTCTCGCCGCCTGCGAAAAGTGACAACGCCGTGGGAAGGCCCTCAAATACGAACCGCCGGTGGGCAGCTCGTCACACCAGTCGGGCGATGCACTGCTCGCGTCGAGATCCACAATGAGACATGCCCTGTGAAGTTCGTCATTCTGCAGGACTGTTCGAGGGACGTTATCCTCGGAATGGACTCCCTCTGCGAGTATAGCGCCGTCATCGACCTCAGAGCAAACCGGCTAACTTTGCGAAAACCTGTTTCACCACTGGAGGAACCCAAAGCGACGTCATCCGCGGTCCGAGTCCTCGCAAGTCACGTAAACTTACCACCGCGGTCAAGTGTTTTCGTGCCTGTCGGGATCACCGAAGCTTTCTGCGGCGAAGTTCTGCTCGAGGGGAGCCTCCAGTTGCTTCTAGGAAGAGGAATAGGCGTCGCAAGAGGGGTAGCTGAACTTCAGGATGGCCGCACTGTGGTCCTCGTTACGAACTTCCGAAATGAAGCGCAACACCTCACAAAAGGTGCAGCCGTGGGCCAGGTCGAGGAACTTCGAAACTCCGCCGCTATCGCCGCCATTACTGACAAATCCTCGCCACCTCAGCAAAACAGTACGTCGCCAGCGCAGCTCGACATTGACCCGAAGCTTCCGGGCCCGAAACAACGGCAGCTACTTAACCTTCTCGCCGAATACCGGGATTGCTTTGCGACGTCGTCGAAGGTTCGCCAAACCACCGTTGCGAAGCACCGCATCGTTACAGAGGACGACGCGCACCCTGTGCATCAATCGCCTTACAGAGTCTCCATTAAAGAAAGGGAGGTGATCCCGGAGCAAGTTCAAGAGATGCTGAACGACGACATAATCCAACCTTCAAGCAGTCCGTGGGCCTCCCCAGTCGTACTGGTTAAGAAGAAGGACAAAACGCTTAGGTTCTGTGTGGACTACCGGCAGCTGAACGCGGTGACGAAAAAAGATGTCTATCCACTCCCCCGCATCGACGATACGTTAGACCGGCTGCGCCACTCTCGATACTTTTCATCGATGGACCTGAAGAGCGGCTAGTGGCAGATCGAAGTCGACGAACGGGACCGAGAGAAGACAGCCTTCGTTACACCGGATGGGCTGTACGAGTTTAAGGTGATGCCCTTCGGACTATGCACGGCGCCAGCAACTTTCCAGCGTGTCATGGACACCGTACTGGCAGGACTGAAGTGGCAGAGCTGTCTCGTCTACCTCGACGACGTCGTAGTGTTTTCCGGCGACTTCGACGAGCACTGTTCTCCAAGCCATACGGACAGCCGGACTCACCCTCAAGCCGTCAACGTGTCGGTTCGCCTATGACGAGCTGAAGTTCCTAGGTCACGTGGTTAGTAACGAAGGCATTCGTCCAGACCCAGAGAAGACTCGCGCCGTCGCAGCATTTCCAGTGCCAAGAGACAAGAAGGCCGTGTGAAAATTCCTTGGGCTATGCGCCTACTATCGGCGCTTCGAGATTTCGCAAGGATTTCCGCACCGCTCACAAACCTCACGAAGGACGCCAAGAAGTTTGAATGGGTCGAGGAGCAGCAGCAGGCATTCGACGAGCTGAAGCGACGACTGCAGGCGCCTCCTGTTCTTGGACTTTTCGACCAGGATGCGGAAACCGAGATTCACACGGACGCAAGTAACGCTGGACTTGGTGCGGTACTGGTTCAAGTACAAAGAAGGCACCGAGCGAGTCATCGCCTACGCAAGTCGGACATTGTCCAAGGCGGAGCGAAATTACTCCACGACTGAAAAAGAATGCCTTGCGGTCGTCTGGGCGATCACAAAGTTTCGTCCGTGCTTATACGGAAGCCCGTTCCGCGTAGTCACGGACCACCATTCGCTCTGCTGGCTTGCGAACATCAAAGACCCGTCAGGACGCCTTGCGCGATGGAGTCTCCGACTACAAGAGTTCAACATGACCGTAATCTACAAGTCAGGCCGCAAGCACAGTGACGCCGACTGCCTGTCCAGAGCTCCCGTCGAAACACCTTCCGACAGCAGCGACGACGATGACGACGAGTGTTTCCTCGGCGCAGTGAACACCGACGACATGGCCCGACGTCAACGAGACGATCCTGAGCTGCGCGCACTAATAGAGCACCTGGAAGGGCATGGGAGTGCCATACCACGTGTTTTTTCACGAGCCCTGCCGACCTTCGCCACTAGACAAGGTGTTCTCTACAAAGAGAACTTCGGCAACAACTCGACGTGGCTGCTGGTAATCCCGACCGACCTTCGAGAGGAGATCTTCCAAGCCTGCCACGACGACCCGACGTCCGGACACCTTGGTTACGGCCGGACACTGGCCCGTATTCGTGAAAAGTATTACTGGCCCAAGCTCCCCAAAACCGTGCACCTATACACACAATCATGCCATGAATGCCAGCGACGAAAGAAACCTCCGACGAGGCCGGCCGGACTCTTGCAGTCAATTCCTCCGCCAACGGCACCCTTCCAGCAGATCGGAATGGATCTACTTGGCCCTTTTCCGCCGTCGACGTCGGGAAATCGCTGGATCATCGTCGCCACAGATTATCTTACGCGGTCCGCCGAAACGAAAGCCCTTCCTTTCGGAACTGCTGTGGAAGTTGCCAAGTTTTTCATTGAATCCATCGTCCTCCGGCACGGCGCTCCCGAAGCCCTGATCTAAGACCGTGGATCCTCGTTCATGGCCCAGCTGACACAAGAAGTCCTTCGTCTCAGCCACACCAGCCATCGTCGCACCACGGCGTACCACCCTCAGACCAACGGGCTGACGGAAAGACTCAACAAGACCATCGCCGACATGATTTCCATGTACGTCGACGTGGAGCACAAGACATGGGACGAGGTGTTGCCATACATCACCTTTGCCTACAATACGGCCATGCAAGAGACCACCGGGGTTACACCCTTTCAACTGGTTCATGGTCGCAAAGTGACGACAATACTGGAAGCAATGTTACCCCACGAACCGGCTGTCGACGGAAGCGACGACGCCCAGGTGGCTGCCCAACGGGCAGAGGAAGTCCGTCAGCTCGCCGGACTCCGGATTCAAGCCCAACAACGTATTGACACTGGCCGTTACAACCTTCGTCACCGGGACGTCCACTTCCAGCCCGGAGACAGGGTGTGGGTGTGGACACCGATCCGACGCCGTGGTCTCAGCGAGAAACTTCTGAAGCGCTACTTTGGACCCTACAGCGGTATTCACACGAGCGAGAAATCCCTCCCTTTGCTCCCCGCGCTGCGTATCACGTGACAGAAACGTCACGCTTTCGCGCGGAGGCGCGGTGATGCAGCCCTCGCCGGGGGATGGGGGAGGTTTTGCTCGGGCTGGACAAACGGTCCCCGCCTTGGCGGGGGATTTCTGCGCTGTTGACGGTACTTTTTCGCCTGCCTGGCAACTTAACAGATTGTGCTTCGCCTGTTGCCGGCGGTGGCATCGCGATCGCCTCGTTGTTGTGCCGCTGCTCTGGCGTAGAACACCAAACATTTTTTCAACGATCTCTCGGACGATGGCGCGATTAATGATCAGTGATGAGGCAACTTTTCATCTTCTTTCGCTCGTTGAGCAGTACCCGTGTCTTTGGGATACCGGCAGCGCTGATTACAGCAAGACAAACCTCAAGACATCAGTATGGGAACATATCGGTATGGAAATGATGGAGCGTTTTCCCCAGTTCGGGCCGTACAGTGCAGGTGAGCGGACTTTTTTTGCTTTGTTTACTGAATGAATATGTGCATCGTTGTGCTCGATTTGTGAAACGTATTCTGCGTCGAAATGATCCCTGGGAATGTCGCGATCCCTTACGACTCGCTACAGGGAAGAGTTCCTGCAAACCAATCACACGCGCTAATTCTGAATTGAGTTCATACGTTGGAATTAAATTTTAGAACCGATTAATTTCGTGGCACACAGAGTAAAAGAAAAACATATTTAATGAACGGCATAATATAGCACACCTGGCCATGTGTTTTTAATGATAAATCAACAATATTTCAATAGCACGTTCAACGATTGTGCTAGAGATCAGTCAGAATGTAATTTGCCAGCTTTCATGCAACGTGGCTTGTCTCACTTTGTACACAGTTGTCATATTTGTCACACTAGCTTTGTTTGTGAGGCTCAGGTTGTCTTGGCAAGTTCTCAAGCAGAAGTTTGTTCTTTTATTTTTTTTTTTTTCCGCACAGATAGCCTCAAGCTACTGCTGAAGAACAAGCGGCGAACCTTCAGGGAGGAGAAAAAAAAGATCCTCCAAACAAAAAGCGGCCAACCATCAGACGACGTTTATATTGGGAAGTGGAAGTTCTATAGGGCAATGCTCTTCCTGGATGCCAGCGATGTAAATCCAGGGAAGCGTACATGCAGCGACAACTATGGAGAAACCATAGAAGAGGTGAGTGGAGCTTTATTTCTTAGACATCCCTGCATTCATTCATTGGGATAGTAACGCATAAACGAGGGAAATGTAAACATGTACATTTTAAAGGCAAGTTAATATATGACAACAAACAAAAGCAAAATAATAAAGATAATGAGATGTAGTTGAACATGTTTTTGAAGAACAGTGTGTTGTTACACGCTTTCCTTTATTCGAACGAACCACTGTTTCTACTGATTGCAGTCGTATAATTACAGGACTGCGAGGGTTCTGCAGGAGGCAGCGACGTTTCAACCCCCAGCACTTCGGTCGAGCCATGTTCTCCACCCTCCCAAGGGGACGCAAGTGCCGTCCGGTCATTGAAGAGAAAAAATGACTCGGAAACACAGTCCCTGCTTGAGCAGCGCACAGCAACGTTAGAGAGGATGGCCCGATGCCTGGAGGAACCAGCCCCGGACGACTGTGCGGGATTTGGGTCCGTAGTTGCCCAATACTTGAGGCAAATGCCGATGTTGAAGCGGGCGAAGTGCGAGGCACAAATGATGCAACTAATAGTTTCCCATCTTGATGAGTGACGCGTTTGTGTAATCTGAGCACAAAATAAAAGAATCACTATCGATATTGTATTTTTAGAGCACCCGAAATTCCACACATTTGCAAAACACAGCATTCAACATGGTAGTCTCGCACTATGTCACATTCCTCCTAAGGTGGCTAATGTCAATGCCAGCGAGTTTGTCCTGCCAAGGCACGGCACCTTCTCCACTGAAATATTCGCAGAGCCTTTCTCGCACTGCTGCAGCAAGAGCTCCAGCTCGAGATTTCGAAGACTCCAGGCCGAAAAAAGTTTTCTCGGGAGCGGTTCCTTTGCTTGTCTCGGGTTGTTCGACCTGGCGTCTCTTCAAGAGATTGTGCAAGACACATGCTGCTTTCACCATTGTGCTCACCCTCTCCGGTGTAGCGTGCACAGTAGTTAAGAGGAAGCGAAATCTGTGCGCCAATATACCGAATGCGTTCTCTGCCACACGACGTGCCCTGGACAACCTGAAAAAATATTTAGTAAAGCAATAAGTTGCATTGAAAATCATCTCTACATATAATAGTTGTGCACTACAAATGCTTACGGGATCAAGACCAGGAAGAAAAGAAGACAGGCACAACTACCATATTTTCCAGTGTATAAGGTGCACCCCCCCCCCTTTTTTTTCGCGAGTTTCTAAGTAACTATTAGTATATAAGACGCACCATCGAAAATTGTGGGGAAAAAGTTTTATACACCGGAAAATACAGTACTTTCATTCCCTTGGCTTCATCTTCCACAGGGACTTGAAGGAATGTGGTCAAGACAAATTACGTTTAGTGACCACAAATTTCACAATGTACACCAAGATTCTCTGGGCGAGTGTCAACAGGGGCGAGTTAAAGGTTGGTGTTATAGTGGGACTCACCGATAATTGAAAATTTTTTGTGCCTTTGAAAGGTCGCTCCCACCAAATGGCTTCATGAGGTTCGGGGATAGTGGGAATGCGTCATCACCCACGATCACAGGGGGAAGCTGGAGGGTAGATGAGGCGTTCATGCTAATCATGTCAGGTAGCCCCGATCTCTTTTCCGTGATTGCTTTCTGCAGGGGGGTGGTCTGCCAGATCGCACCATCTCCCTTGGAGCCGGGCGTCCCGACATCAATATACGCAAACTTGCAGTCGGCGTCGACAAGTGCAAAAAGGATAACACTGTACGTTTTTTTGTAGTTGTAGTACAGTGTTCCTGACTTCGCAGGTCTTACAATGACGACGTGTTTTCCATCAATGCCGCCCACGCAGTTTGGAAACTGCCACCGATTGTTGAAGTGCTGAGCCAAGTCCAACCAGGCCTGCTCACAGTTTGGTGCTACCAGCATGTCACCCTTCAGTACATCGTAAATGGCGGCACACGTGCTGTGGATGATTCCGTTCACAGTGCTGTGGCCGACGCGAAATTGTCGGCTCAGCGAGTACTGGGATTCCCCTAGAAAAGAAAGAAACGCGAGTCCAAATTATTTTAGCGATACATTTTCATCCTTTTTGCGGACACAGCAGTGCTTTGTTAGCGTAAGTGCACTGGTTAACCAAAAGCCTTCCAGCATCAAGAACTTGACTGACACGCCGTCAAACACCAGAATACGACATCCTGACGACCTCTTAGTAAGTCGCTCGACCGTGTGCAAGAATTTAAGCGGACATATTTCATTATTTTAAGACGGGCTGCCGGACATACGAAATAAGGTAAACAAACAGGCTATGTAGTAGTAAGAACACACAAAACGAACAGATGGACGAAAATAAACATGTAGTAGCTTTGTAGATTTCTACGTGACGGTTCCGTTAAAATGCGTCGGTGGCCAGCGCCTTCACAGAACAGTCGCAACAGCATTAACGAAATCGGTTATTGTTTATGATAAATGGGTACCCACCAGATGCCAAGTAGCGCAGAGTCAATTGAAGACGAGTCTTCGCGCTCACGGGGCGCCTCATATTTGTATCTTGTTTCTCAATCCGCTGACGGATGCGGGACAGAAGTTCGAGGAAGACGTCGTAAGGCAGGCGAAGAAGTCGTCGATACTCATCGGCGTCGTTTTCGAGCAGCTCGTCGTACAATTGGTTTTGAATTCCGCGTTCTTTGTGCTGCATCCATTCTTTCACCCAGCACCTTTTTTTCGCTGGAAGAACTTCGTCGTCTTCCGTCTCTATCAGCGCTGCTGCCATAACAGCGTAGCGTCGTTTCAAGTACGCCTCCATTTTCCTACTCTCGACCGCGGCGCGCCCGCCCGACGATCCACGTGCGCCGAGCCTTGCTGTCGAGAGTGCGACCGCTAAATTCGTCTGGTAACACTGATATCCCTCCCGTCTCCCCCGCCGGTCCCGCCGTTCGTGTGAAGGGTGGAGCTGAGGAGGGAGTTCTCCCGGCCGCGTGCGTCACGCACATCCCTCCCCGAAGGCATCCCCCGTCTGAACACCGCTTACAAAGTGCTTCGTCAACTCGGGGATCTGAACTACGAGGTGATGCCCGACGGAACACGGACTTCATCACGCCGCCCTCCACGACCAGAAGTCGTCCACGTCGTGCGCATGAAGCCGTACTACGCTCGATAGGACAGTGGACCTTACGTATTCCAAATGACTCTTTAGTTTACCTTTTTTTTTTTTTTTGGTTTGCTTTGTTTTGTTTTGTGCTGCATCGGGGCGATGCACTTTTTAAAGGGGGGAGTAATGCCGATCGCGCAGCTGGCCAAGTAGGCAGCGTGCGCGTGGCCTAATGGTTATCGCGCCTGCCTCCCACGCAAAAAGCCAGGGTTCGATTCCTGGGAGCGCCGCATCTTTTGTTATTCCTGCAATTTAGTTTTCTGGTAGATTAGAGAATAATGTTGCGTATTCGAGGTCCGAATGTTCTACGCGTCGAACATTCTACGCCGATTATTCCAGAAGCTCACGCGTGGTAAACCGGACTGAGTTTCGCCTCAGCGTTCGATCCTGCTGCTTTGCCGCTTTCGACGCCAGCTACACTGTTGTTATTTTCTTTTGCCTTTTATTCCTGGGCACAAGTTTGCCCCATTAAACGTTTGTTTTCTCAGTTATTTCGTTGTTTTGTCACCTTGTCATTCGTGACAATATCTCAAATGCATACTCCAGCAGCAAGCAATCCGACCATTAGTGAACTAACCGGCTCGACCAATTAAAGTGCGGAACTTCTGCAACCCAAATCGTTCTATATCCCTGGAACACTTTCTGCTCGAAAAATGTCTGCATAATCATTGACTAAGCCGAGTCTGTTCAATACAATGATTTGGTGGTCGGCATACCTTGCGGATGCGATATTTTGTGGGTGTACCGTAAAATCCCGAGAGATGTCCCACCCCCGAAAGATTGCCCACCCCTATTTTTGGCTTGATTCGCTATATTTTTTTAGACACCGAAAGATAGCTCACTCCTGGTAATAGTAGTGTTGGGATCAATGATGGCCTCGACGTGAAAGCAGCTAGTTAGCTATGGTGGGATATAAGCAAATGTTGTTGAATGGGAAGTAGTCATCCTTGCTTCGTTGCCCCTCGCCACCATAACAAGCTTGGAAGGGACACGACTTAAAAATAGCAATTTTTTAACTTTTCTTGATTGTACACCGGAAGTTAGCCCACTTCATATTTTCAGCCGATTTACTTTTGATGGTAGGTGGGCTATCTCTCGGGATTTTACGGTAAACATTTCAATCTAGATTTTTTTTTTTTTTTAAGTTACCACTTTGTTGCATTCAGACCACAGACATGAATGGGACGTTTCTGCCGTGCAACTTTTATAGCGGCCATGCATCTAATCCCAAGACAAAAATAAAAACAGATGATTCCATGTTACTGCCACTTCTCACTGTGTACAACATTTACAGGCAAAAGCATCTAATGTAGGTGCAGTTTTTTCCTTGCCCTTTCCTTGTTTCTCCGCGCTCCGCGCAGGGGACACCGGCGGCGTCCCCTGCACGGTGTAAACAGAACCTGGCAGGCATGTGGCGATGGTAAAACAAATACGAAGAATGGAGGAGGCGAGGCGTGTAGATGCCAGGTTGGTGAAGATGATGTTAATGAAGTGCTTGCATACTACAAAAAGGGCGAGCTGGATTGCTCATGGCAAGCCCGAATAAGAAAGATGCTGCGCACGTGAAAATCAAGGAAGAGACCCAATGAGTTCCAAGGCGCTTCATGACGCGGTCCCTGTGCGAAGCATACGGCGCGCCTACAAACTTGCCTACCCCAGCTTTGCGATTGGCCACACAAAGTTTATATCTTTGCGACCTCATTGGGTCAAGTGCTTGCCACACCGGGAAGTGTGTGTTTGTACCTACCGTGCCCAGTTCCAACTGTCTCGTGGGGCTGAAAAATACGTCAGGGGATTCACTTTCTGCGGAAGGTGTGCAGGATCTCTGTTTATGTCAGCAGCCTACTTCCAAAAGCACCCAAGAGCAGAAGAATCGACATTGGAAAAATTCTATATTGGACATAATGAGGAGCTAGTCTTCGCCCCATAAGAATTGGGGGAGTGAATTAAGAAGACGCTGGCGGCCACAGCGTTTATCCAGGAGCTTCAAAAAACTGTGATAAAGTGGATCCCTCACAACTACCTACGACGCGTGCAAGAAGATGATGAAGACCGGAATCATTGCTGCTTCGAGGGAAAGCAATGTTCAGACTTCGACGCCGTTCTTCTCAGACCGACTTGTCTCGGCTCAGCAGAAGTGCCATGCGGACATGCGCACCGCTGACAAGTGCATGCAAATTGCAGAGGAGCAGCTCATGAAACAGTGCCTTTCAACGAGACCTCCCCACGGCAATCTAGACGTAGCCAGCGTGGCAGTGCTTGGAGGCAACATTGTTCGCGCTGCGAACGAGCACATTCCTTGTGAGGACTGTACTGCACTTCTGCAGGGGCCGAAAGCATACACACCCCTTCAGGGACTTATGGCCCCCAAGACCGAGGTGGCCTCTGCTATCCCAGTCAAGAGCTCGTCAAGCTCCTGATAGGACTCGGAAGGTTCGCAGACAATGCACAGTACTCTTCTACAGGAAGTCTATCCCAAAGTCCCTGGAAGTCTACGTGCAAAGAAGTGTCTCCATCCTCATGGACGTCACCCTGTCATTGCCGAAATTTCATACACTACGTGCGCCGAAGGTTGTACCGACCGATACACTATTTTTGGGGGTCCGACCCGATTTTCGGACACTAATGTCTTGCCGACCACGCTAAAGCTAGGCTTAGCCGCTAGGCCTAGCCTCAACTCTGCTGTGATCAAATTTGTCAGCGAAGGTGAAGAGATCCCACCCCTCCACTCCCTTGAAGACTTCAACAGCAAGGAATGGACTGAAATCCTGCACAAGCTATGAGCCCTATCCCACAACAGGACATTCCAAATGTGCGACGATGTCTGATCAAACAAAGGTAAAATGTGATGGCTGCTTTTTTGTCACAATGAGCTTGCAGCATCAAATGAGTCACATAAATGAAACAAAGCAGGTGTGGCATGAAAATTCTGTTAAACTTAGAGGCTGCTCAGGTGCCTTCATATGTCATCCGAGACATAACAAGCACAGCAGCCTACGGGCATCTTCACCAGACAGGTGTACTTCAGCGGAATGATCGATCTCACCATCACATTTAATACAGATGGAAGTCCACTGTATAAGTCCTCAAGAGCATCTGTGTAGCCAATCCAGTTCATTGTCAACAAGCTGCTACCAAGTGTGCGGTTTGATCACTGTACTTTGGCAGCATCGTGCTCCGGCTCAAGCCACCCAGATATGAACTTCTTCATGAGCAGGTTCGTTGAGGAGGTGACAACTCTTAACACAGTAACCTGGGAGCACGACTCAACCATCATATCTTCCAAGGTTCACGCCCTCTGCTGCTACGGGGATGCGCCAGTGTGAGCTCAAGTGCGTAACCATATCCATTTCAACAGGTACTTTGGGTGCCCCTGGTGCTTAGCAAGTGGACAGCATGTGGGAGGTAAGAAGATTCAAGTCCTCATGGCCATTTGTTGCTTATTTACTCTGTATTCATTGATGTGACTTGACTGGAACTTCACTTACTACCACCCTTTTGCCTTAATGCTGTTTAATTCACTTGTGAAATACTTTTAGGGCTAAAGAGCTGCTTTGCGGCAAAGTTACTCCAACCAAGACGGCCGAAGGCAGCTCTTCTCGTCAAGAATGATTTCAGAAGTGCATTGGCATCAAGTCAGAAAGGGCAGTAGGTAAAGTTTGAGTCAAGTCAGCTGAATCTATGACATGGAAGGTTAGTGTATCTTTCTTTTTGCACCACTGACAAAAAAATATCAGGAAAACAAACGATACAACAGACACTTTCCAGACTTCACATGAAGTCTGGAAAGTGCCTGCCACATGGAAAGTAGCTACAGTAGACCTTTCCCGCGAAATTTTCTGCCACTGAAATAATACAAAAATTCAATGAGCACATCATTCAAGCCCCTAGCCATCGCACATTACTACTGCTGGATTCTCAGTTCTTCTGCTCATTGCTACTTATATGTTTCTATTTTGCTTTCTCACTCATAATGATTGAATCCTCTTTACAATGCACATAACCGCTCACGGCAGTCTGCCTATTTTTCCTCATTCGGGCACATTCATTTTCACACCAAAATACTTATCCATTTTACCTCATTTTCTATACACCAACTCATGTTTACAAACAAACCGGAGCGCCCAAAGTGCCCCTAGCAGACGCCACCGGCGCCATGCATGCACGATGGGGGTGTGGGCAAGAAGCTTGCCGTCGCCCATAAACAAACCATTGAAATGCGATGTTGTCGGCGTCGGTGTGAGTCCCCTTGCCCTTTTTCGCGTTCGAATTGCTGGTTCTACGTCTTCCTGGCGATGTCTGACCATCTTGAGCGGCGTCAGCGAAATTACCGAGGCTCGTTACACCACAAAACATCGCGTGAATAATGTGACATGTGGCGATTCATTCCG